TATCTAAGGTGTTTCTTAAGAAAATAACACAAAATATGATATGAGCAATGACACTAAAATATCCAACAAAATAATAATAATAATAATAATAATAATGAAATCACGTAAAACAAATATTGCAAATTAACAAGTCATAATGAAAATGATCATAATTTAAAAGTACTAAATCATGCTAAAATAAGTTTAATAAGTATTAGTTACATGACTAAATATTAAAAAAAAATTAAAATTAGACTATGTATTTGAATTGTCTAAACCAATGTAAAATCAAAGAACAAATATTCAATATTGTGGTCATTCTTAGCTAGCGTTTGGCCATAGATTTCCAAATATTTTTGACAAATATTATTTGGGTGAAGATTTGGGTGAAATTTCATCATGTGTTTGGCCATAGTATTTGGGAAACATATTTCATTTTTTAAAGAAATATGATTTATACCCATAAGTTTTTAAAACTATCAAAAACTAACCATAAATTTGTATTACATAGCAAAATAGAAATGTCACGTAGCAAGATTCATGACTTCCGCAACAAATCAACAAGCATCATTATAGTAAATATTCACATTGTTAAAATAGACTAGTACAAATCATGATAATGAAAATACAACTAATATGAATTTGAAAAAGAAGAAGAAAACAAAAGGAAATAAATATTGCAATCACTGAAGCACCTCTGCCTTCTCTTCCAGAAGAGTTCAAACTATTCTTTAATATAATCTTTCCACATTCTATGAACAATCTCTTCTCTATGAGCTTGCATTTGCAAATCAGATGATTGAGAAGATGAAGTGATGTTGTTATCCTGAGTCAATTGTTTGCCATTTTCATCAACAACCATATCATCATTGAATATTCACTGAATATTCCATCACTGCTTTGGTGTTCACGTAAAAATTCACCGAGTTCAAACTTTCATCATCAAACTTATCTCGATTTCCAATTTTCTCAAAAAACTCATTCCTAACTTCTATCAATCGTGGACCACTGATGGCATAACCTTTAAATCCAGACTTCCTCGCATCATTATGCAGGACACTTATAAGGATTGATGTTTCTTCATCGATCCATTTATCAGCAGCTGAATCACGTGATTTATTTATTTATTTGCGTTTCTACAATACAACATCAACATGACAACACTTCATATGCATAACTTAATTTTTTTTAGAGTGCACAAAATCTGAAAGCATATCTTTAACTAAAAATGAAAGACGTACGAACACGATTGGAAGTATATTACCCTGTTAATCGGATAAGGTGAAGTCACATAGCTGTCGTCGAAAATCCCAAAATCAGCTTCAGGAATAATGGACATTACAAAACTTAAAAAAATAAGCCCGAAAAATTAGTTGCACCAGTCAAATGATAAAATAAAACACACGGAGAAAAGATTCTTATCATTCATAACTCTTAAAACCTAGACAAGAGAACTAATTCATACAGATCAATTCAAGCAAGATCAATCTAAAGAAAATTCATACATATATGCTCTTTATAATAGAAAAGTTTATTAATTGAGTTAG